AAATTGAAAGCCAGTGTTGTTCGTAGAGACCTCCAAGATCATGTGGCCGGCATCACTGCTATGTGTTATGTGTTACATACTAATAAACCTAAATAAGGTTTGAAAAAGAACCTTTTCTCTTCAACCTAAAAAGCGTTCTAAATTGGTTAACTGGAGAAAAAATCTCCCTTATTTCAATTACTTTCCATCTATATAAATAAAAATGTAATGTTCGTTTGTGGAATTAACAGAACTCAAAAACTACTTGACGAATTGACACCAAATTTAGACACAAGACACCTAACAACGTAATGTATGTCCTTCACTCAAAAAAATGATTTTGTCATTTGGGAATTGTAGTTGCTGGGATTTATAGTTCACCTATTCTGAACCCCTCCAATGATGGAACTGAACCAAACTTGGCACACAGTTCTCTCATGACGAACAGAAAACACTGGAAGGGTTTGGTGGGCAGTGTCCTTTGGTTTTGGAGTTGTAGTTCACCTACATCCAGAGATCACTGTGGACTCAAACAATGATGGATCTGGACCAAACCACAAGAATACTCAATATGCCCAAATGTGAACACTGGTGGAGTTTGGGGAAAATAGAATCTTGACATTTGGGAGTTGTAGTTGCTGCGATTTATAGTTCACCTACAATCAAGGAGCATTCTGAACCCCACCAATGACAGAATTGTGGCAAACTTCCCACACAGAACCCCCATGACCAACAGAAAATACTGTGTTTTCTGGTGGTCTTTGGTGACCCTTTGACACCCCCTTGCGACTCCTCCCAAGGGGTCCCAAACTCCAGGTTGAGAAATGCTGCTTTAAGGCCATCTAGTAAGTAATAAAGTTATTGTATGTTTCATCTTTTTTAAAGTTTCTGTAAGCATTTTTAGAACTCATCATTGATGATGATGATATTGATTTTTTCTGGGGGATATTTTTTAATATCATTTTGGAGTTAGTTCCTATAATATTTCAGAACTTTTTTCTAACATAAAGAAAATGCTGTGAAACTTCAACCATTTCTCTCTAGAGATCTGTAGTATTATTATTATTTGTTTGTTTGTTTACTCTAGAGAACTGATCAGAAACTTTAGCTGCTGATGATCAGAAAGTACTGAGAGCATGACCCGTGACCAGTTTCCTAATCTACAAATGTGTAAATGCTTCGAAGTTGTACTTCCCAGTCATGACAGCTTATATACTTATCTCTGACTCAGAATTGGAGCACTTTGTGGTTTTATTGCCTTGTTTTAGTGCAGAGAGCATTAGATTGAAATATCTCCCATGTGAATGTCTCCCGAGCTGCTTCAGCAAAGAGAGAGAGTCCAAACTAGCGTCTGCTCTGACACAAGAAACATTATGGCAAGTGTTGTCTTGAGCAGCTCGGATAGAAAAATCCAGTGGGAATAAGTGATTTTCAGAAGATGCTGTGCTCAAATTTCATGGTTCAGTAGAGAACAGTGGAGACGGAAAGGTCATAGGGAGAATATGTGAGGACATCATTCAAATTCAGATTTGCCATTATGAAAGCTTTCGGAAAATGTCATGGCTAGCAAATAGTGTATGAAAACTAGATTTCATGTTTTATTAACAGATTGTTTGCTATTCATTTTGCTTCATTTCCTTTCACAAATTCATTATGTCTGTAAATCTCCCACATACTCCCCAGGAGTGCCATGACTACATTTCATTCATTTTTCTGTTGTAGTATTAATTTTAAAGACCAGTGTAATGTTACTTCTTTGAATTTACTACTCATAGAAAATCGGGTAGTTTTTGTTTTGTTTTTTTAAGAACTTGGGCAGAGAGGTTTAATCTCCCATTAGGGCTGGTCTCACTTCACTCATTCCTTCCCTGTTCAGTTGTGTACCAACCCACTCTCAACTCTCCGTATTGTGGCTTCCAGAACAAAAGAGGGGAGCAGACCGAGGTCCTGAAGGGATTGGCTGGAAGGAGTAGTGACTTTTTTGCCTCTTGATTGTTTGAGTGCAAGATGGCTCCTTATCTACCTTATCCACCATTTCACTTACCCTGATCTAAAGGAGGATCTAGAGAAGCACAGAAATGAAAGTATTTGGGGCATGGTATGCTTTGGTCCAAGTATAGTGAAAAAATTGGACTTGCTAGTATCTGCATTGTCAGGTACCCATGGAGGATCTTGGAACATATCTCTTGTTCATATGAAGATGCAAAATTATTTGGAGTTGTGGTATAACTACACTCTCATTTGGGAGTTGTTTTTGTTTCGTTTATTGTTTTATTTACCCTTCCCATCCTAGATTATTATTATTATTAAGTTGTAGAAGATCAGCTGGTGATTTGTATCTCTTCTTGGATGGGGGGAGAGCAGGAAAATCTATCCAAATAGAAATACTGAATGAACAAGATGTTTTGTTATGTGAAGCTATGCCTCCACTAATATTTGCTGCCAAAATGCTTTATAGGTTCTTACTATCAATAAGCAGTTTTTAAACTAAGCCTTGCCCTGTAGCTGATAGATTTGTCCACTTCCTCACCGTGGTCCCCAGTATTTGCACTCTGGAGCCCACAATTTGCTACGTGACAGGCTGTGCTTTAGAAATCTGTGTGAATAATCTTGAAATCTGTGTTAATTCTATGATTAGTGATGCATTCGTTTTTTTGCAGAGCTCAGTTGAGATTGCATATGGGTTGCTTTCAGGTAGAGGTTTACAGGCATAAACAATACAGGCTACTGTATTGTTTTTGATTGTTTTAACTAGTCATAACTGTTGACACTATATTGTAATTTGTACATTGTATTTTGTGAATTGTTGGGCATCGAATTGTGCCTTTTGTAAGCCGCCCTGAGTCCCCCCCAGGGGGTTGAGAAGGGCGGGGTAGAAGCACCCCAAATAAATAAATAAATTAATAAATTAATAAATAAATTTGAAATGATTGAACTTGTTAAAACGAGGGCAAATGTGAAGTATCTTGCTATTTTCTCTTTTTCAAAATGCTTGGGGGATAGCTATTTGTTTTTGCCATTGCAGGTGGTATCACCCAAAGTTGGGTAGGGATACTATAATTGCAAAGAGGTTGCCATATAACCCATAGTCTAGAGCAGGGGTCCTCAAACTAAGGCCCAAGAGCCGGATACGGCCCTCCAAGGTCATTTACCCGGCCCTCGCTCAGGGTCAACCTAAGTCTGAAACGACTTGAAAGCACACAACAACAATCCTATCGCATCAGTCAAAAACAGGCCTACACTTCCCATTGAAATACTAATAAGGTTATATTTGTTAAAATTGTTCTTCATTTCAATTATTGTATTGTTTTAAACTGGTTTTTGCACTACAAATAAGATGTGTGCAGTGTGCATAGGAATTCATTCATTATTTTTTTCAATTTATAATCTGGCTCTCCAACAGTTTGAGGGACTGTGTCCTGGCCCTCTGTTTAAAAAGTTTGAGGACCCCTGGTCTAGAGCAATGGTTCTCAAACAGTGGGTCCCCAGATGTTTTGGCATTCAACTCCCAGAAATCCTAACAGCTGGTCAACTGGCTGGGATTTCTGGGAGTTGTAGGTCAGAACGCCTGGGGACTCACAGGTTGAGAACCACTGGTCTAGAGAGAAATGTGTAGGACAGCTCCATGGAAGAGAAGATGGGTGAGAAAAAAGTGTATGACTCACACAGAATGGACAGAAAGGAAAAGAAGCATTATGATTGGTGGCGTGCTAACTTTGTATGTTGATAGTAGGCATCACTTGAGCTATTTGACAGTCGTTTTCAAAGGATTGTGCCTACTTGTGGTCTGTTTTACAAAATGCTACTGTTCTCTAGAAGTCATGACCTATAAACACCACCTCATGAGGGAGCCACTTTCTGCAGCACCTTTTCATGGGAGGCTCCCTGCTGTCTGCCAGGCAAAGACCTTTCTGTTTAAATAGGATCATAAGTGTTCAGCATGGAAGTGTGTTTTATTTATTTGACCTTTGTATGTCTTTTACATTGTTTTATATACATTTTTGTTATTAAGGCTTTAAAATTTATCTTCGGGAACCGCCTTGGGCCCCACTCTGAAGGAAAGGCAGCAGAAAAATGAAATGAAAACACCTGCAAAGTCATAAGTAGACTTTAGAGATGACAGCCTGTTCCTGTTGTAGTCCCCCAAGGTGTGATAAACTTTTCCACACAGGAAGTCTTAATTTAACAATCTCATCTAATAGCTGTTGAGAGACCCATGTAGGCAGTCCTAGACACAAAGTGTGGGAAATTGCTGTCACCTATATCAAGGATGAGCAAAAAACAGATTGTGTGTTTTACTATTTGTTTATTAATTCTGATCTCACATGCTTTATAATAGCACACAAATGAGCAACCATCAGCCCCAAATTACACTATCAAAATAAAGAAAGGTAGTTAAAACCAGGACTGGAAAAGTTCAGTTTGATACACAGGATATTTAAATTTCCAGGTTTATGTCTTTTGCATATCATTGATGGGTCTTGGGATTCTAGTTAAAAATCAAACACACACCTTGGCTTGAATCTAATCCTAATTCCAATTTTAGTAGACTTTTTGAATCATCAATTTACTGGAGTGTTCTCTTACCAAGTTCCCATTGATTTATTGGATCTACTCTAGTTGGGACTGGCATTTAATTTGGTCTTTGTGATTGGCATGCTTTACTTCTGAATTTGTAGAGTAATACGCCTGGCCATAGTTAGAAACAGAACGTGAGGATTAGATTCCTCCCTTGTGACCCATGAGAGTAATCCTGAGGAGGGCTTGCATTCTGCACATCATCTTTGAAAGAGAATCTAGTATCTGGCGCATAGGCCCCATCAATAATGACTATTTAGTGCCATTTTAAACTAAGACTGAAAAAAAGTGGTTTCACTGTGCAAATGATTACATCAAAAAACATGGGATCAGATTGAGGTCCGAATGGCGGTTAGATACTGATTTTTTGTTAAGACTGAATTGCTGTTGTCAAATGGAATTCATTTCTTATGTAACTAAATATTTCTCTTTTAATTTCTCAGCCCACCAAAACCAACTGTGTTCATTTCAGGAGTCATTGCAAGGGTGAGTTTTTTCATCTTTGTTAATTTAAGTTGTTTTAAATAATAAATCCTTGCTTGCTTTGGTATGAAGTGAAACATTATTAATATGATGCTTCTCTTTCTCTGGGTTTTTTCCTTATTGCCTCAGTTTTAATTATCCGAATGGATAGGAGCCCCCGGTGGCACAGTGGGTTAAACCCCTGTGCCGGCAGGACCGAAGACCGACAGGTCGCAGGTTCGAATCCAGGGAGAGCGCGGAAGAGCTCCCTCTATCAGCTCCAGCTCCTCATGCGGGGACATGAAAGAAGCCTCCCACAAAGATAATAAAACATCAAAACATCCGGGCATCCCCTGGGCAACGTCCTTGCAGACAGCCAATTCTCTCACACCAGAAGCGACTTGCAGTTTCTCAAGTCACTCCTGACACGAAAAAAAATCTGAATGGATTCTAAATAGAGGCATCACTTTTGAGTGCATTTTAGCTATAGCAGAGAAGCCTATGAATGTATTTAATAAGCATATTGTGGAATTCTAATCATCTTGGGGATGAGGTGGGGTTTTTTAAGGAGGAGGATTGCAGTAATTATACACGCACTTGCACATGCCAGTTCTGCATCTGAAAGTCCGAATTGTGGAACCATCATGCTGTAATGTAGACCTTGGATGTGTGAATGTTTCTCTTCTGTGTGAAAGGCAACTTAAATGATAAATACGAAATATTTAAAAGTTTGGGAGAGAGCCTTGGAACACAAAAGAAAACAAAGGCTGTAACAAAAACCCTGTTAAAGCTCACAATCAAGTTTGTTGAAATGTTCAGCACAGACTTTTATGACATTTTGGTTGTATCCATTAACAGTAATTGCCTGTCTGTGAATTTTGGAAAATAATGGAGAGAATTGCACTCTTATGTTGCTTTCATGGAGACATCATGATTTGAACGCGGTTCTGCTTACAGGGCAGTGACCTGTTTGTATAGGACCCACTGTAGCTTGGCCAAGAGCCCACCCATCCTTTGTTTTCCTTGCAGTAACTTCTCCTTTCCTTCATTAAAAAAGAAAATATAAATTATAGATATGTTGATAATGGACAAAATAACTGTATTATTAAGAGGAGAAATATTAGATAACTTCGTTAATGAATGGCAATCAATGATTCAACACCTTAATGTAAAGTTAAATTAAAAATGTATATAGAGGATCCTATAAGATTGTAGACAAGGAAGAAGTGGATGTAAAGTAAGAATCTATGATATCTTTCTATGTATTATTTAGATAGTAGACTGACCCCTTAATAGAAATATATTATGAGATAAATGATTATAGAACATTAATAGATAGAAAGTATTGCACTGTACTTGCAAATGTATGTTTACTTAAATAAAATAAAAAATAAATAAAGAGCAACCCATAAAGCCAAAAAAAAAAGAAAAAAAAAGAAAATAATTTGTCGGAAACTGAAGACTGTCAGATACAGCCTTTTTCATTCCAGTACCTTATTGCTTCTAACTGGGTAGGACAGGGGAAGGGATCTCAATTCTAGCTGTATTATGGAAATCTTGTTTGAAATTAATTACAATTTATGCTTTTATGGTATATTTGGACCCTACTTTTTTTTTCTTTTGAGAAAGGCAGCTGAAACAAATAGTAATTTATTCTTAATCTCATTTAAATATCTGCCCTGCCCTTCTACATAGTAGTGCTCAAAGCATTTAACAGCAAGAAAGATAAAATACAACATGAACCAATTCTTTAAAAAATATTTTAGAAGTATAGAAAGTCATCAAGTAATATAAGTAAATTAAACCTGATCACTGGCAGGTCATGGGGAGACGGCTAGTTCCTGTGGAGAAAGATCCACAGGGTTCAGATTCTTTAAGTTCAGGCACCCAGAGGGTTACAACCTATGTTCAACAGACCAATAAGCAAATGTCACAGGCAAGTAAACAAATGTCATAAAGAGTGTAAGATGATGGAAGCAGAGAGGGCACAACTAAGTCCCCCAGAAAGCTCTGTTGTTTTTATGGCTGTGTAATGTGTGTATTGGTTGCAGTTATACCTTTCCTGTTTGGCAGCACCCTGTGACTCGCCAATGTATTATTATGTAAAATAATTAAACACATACAGCTTTGGCAGTTTTGGATGTATGAAATATTGTGCTTTTCTTGTCACAAAATAATAGCACAACATTAGGAATATATCAGCTATTTATTTATTTATTTATTTATTTATTTACAGAATTTGTATTCCGCCCTTCTCACCCTGTAGGGGACTCAGGGAAGATTACAACGCACATATACATGGCAAACATTCAGTGCCATAGACACACAACATATATAAACAGACACACAGAGGCTATTTAAGATTCCAGCTTCATGAGGGTATGCGCAAATTCCGGCCACCGGGGGAGCTGTCTCTTCACCGTCCACTTGTGACACTGATGGAGTACTTTCTCATTCTTTTGCACACTGCTGGAGATTTTTGTGGCGTTATAAATTAGTTAAATTAATCTCCCCACATAAAGCAGTACCTAAATTTCCTTCTTGACAGATGCAACTGTTTTTTTTTTTTTTTTTGAGCTGCAAAGGTCGTCAGCAAGCTAGACAAATGGTCGGGAGCTTACTCTGACCCAGGCTGGCTTCAAACTCATTACCTTTCAGTCAGTAGTGATTTTAATGCAGCTGACTCCCAGCCAGCTGCACCACAGTTAGATCAGTTATTCTCTCCTATGGTCGACTACTGTGTAGAAAGCATTTGTAAACTACTATGAAAGGAAACAATTTATACCACAGGTTGCTTTAAGTTTTTTGGGCTGTATGGCCATGTTCCAGAAGCATTCTCTCCTGATGTTTCAGCTGCATCTATGGCAGGCATCCTCAGAGGTTGTGGTTAAATTAAAGAGGAGCCCRGGGTGGTGCAGCAGGTTAAACCACTGAGCTGCTGAACTTGCTGACCGAAGGGTTAGTGGTTCAGATCCGGGGTTTGGGGCAAGCTCCCACTGTTAGCCACAGCTTCTGCCAAACTAGCAGTTCGAAAACATGCAGATGTGAGATCAATAGGATCCACTTCTGTGGGAAGGTAACAGCACACCATGCAGTCATGCCGGCCACATGACCTTGGAGGTGTGTARGAACAATTCCGGCTCTTCGGCTTAGAAGTGGAGATGAGCACACACACACACARACACACACTCTAGAGTTGGACACAACTAMACTTCATGTCAAGGGGAAARATTTACCTTTACCTTTTACACTTCTCTAACTGTCTTGGTAACATCTTATGTTAATATAGGATTAGCAAATTAGAGAGAGGGGTTTAGGCTTTGAACCCGAGTCAATCATAGAATTAGGAATGCAATAATAGTACTAGAATTGCGAAATGTGGGAAGACCTTAATTTCTGTTAAAATATCAATATTTATGAATCCGTATTTTGACCTTGTCTTCTATGTCAAGATGGAGCAGCCAGTCACCATTGTATCTCTTCCATTGAAATAAGCTGGTGGTGACACAGGTTGTCCCCTTCTCCTCTTCCCCTTAAACAACAATGTGTGTTTTGTTTTTCTTTAATCAGGGTGACAAAGATTTCCCTCCAGCTGCAGCCCAGGTGGCCCATCAAAAACCACATCCTTCAGTGGAAAAGCTTCCTCCCCCACAGCACGTCAACCAGTATATCCACCAGCCTCGCAAATGAGTTGCCTGCCGAAGACCCAGCCATCATGTTTTCTGGGTGGAAAATTACGAGATTTGTGCTACCAGATCTTTTGCCTTAATTGCCTATGGTTTCAATGGTTTAATGTAAAGGGGAAGAGGGAGAGAAGGGCGAAGAATCCTCACTTCCATCAGTCCAGCTGAAAAATATGTTCTTCCATACTGCCGATTTATAATGTTACTTTCATAGAAATATAACAGCATGGGGATGGTTTAGATCAAACTGTTCCTTTGCTCAATAATTATTTTAAACCTTTTCTTCCCTGCTTTCTGGCACTACAAGAATATGCAACATAGGAAATGGGGGTGGATCTTATCCTTCTTCCCTTTTGTAATGAGAAGATTTTTTAAATTTGTGTAAGGCAGACTTTCATGGCATTATTGTGATTGCTGTTTAATTTGATGTTGTTTCATTAGTCTTAAATAATTTGAGGGTAAATTGCTCATTTTTTTACAAAGATATGAAAGGACCAGAAATGTTCTCAGATGGATAGATACTTCTTGCGAGTTTGTAAACTTTCAGAGGATTTATGCCATTGTTGCAACGTAGCCAAAGATTACCCAGCTTGTTGGCCCATGGTTTAGCAAAATGCTCTTTGTATTTTTCCTCGAGAGCAACAGCACCATATGATACAATAATCTCATTGAGTTGGGTAAGTTGCTCAAGTTGCTAGGTGTTCATGGTAGTTCTTTCAGCCTCTCAAGATAGAAATAGCTCATTGGAACAGTCCTTCTTGGATATATAACATTCATATCTCGAGATCACACATTTGAATGGGGCGCAGGCCCGTAGCCAGGATTTTGATTCGGGGGGGGGGGGGCGGTCTACCCTAGCAAACCTTTTGTATCCCCATGTATATGGGATATATTGAGCATGGTGATCAGATCATGATATGAATAAACATAATAGTTTAAATAATGTACCAGTAAGGCCTTCTCACGGACCACTCTGAGAATTCAGCCCCCCCCCCCCTCCAGGTTATGGGCCTTGGGGTGGATCATCTCTTTAAATGCTCTTTTGTGTATAGTATCTTCTGTGCATAGAAGGCCACCATCCCAAGCTTGACTAAAATTCTTCCTGGTCTGCTAGCTATCTGTGTCTGCAGTCCATGAGATAAAATCCAGAGTACTACACCAAATGCCTCTTCTGCAGGCTTGAATCAGCTGCACAGTGGCAACTTGAGCTGGGCCTTCTGTTAATTATTCTGATATAATCTGCTCATGATCTTGCCCTTTTAATCACAGCAAAGAAAGCACATTAAAGAGAATGGCCACCAACCCCCTACAATGCACTACAATTGGCTGCAGAGAAAGTTGTCTATGTTTCTATATGCATCAGATCTATCCATTAAGTTCATTGGGGACCAAGTGACAATTCAAAGATGGATCAGATTCCATATCTGCATCTGATGCATGTGAGAATTTCCTTTGCTAGATTGGAGAAAATTGGTAGTACTGCTTACTTCAATTAAGATTGCCAATTAGTGGAAGCTCGGCCTGGCCATGCATATAAAATTTTAATTACAGCTGTGTAATTTACACTTAGTTCTTATAGATTCAAGTTTCACCTGCATTTTTACAGGTACTTTGATTTTTAAATGATGAACGTTCACTAAATCTCTTCTTCCCCCCAATTTATAATCTACAAAGGGTTTTAATGACTTTGAGGAAGGTTGGGCTGTTAATAAATTATTGTTGCAACTGCTCATCTGGCAAACTGTGGGAAATGTCCATTCCCTTTGGGCTTTAGAGAATCGCTTGTTTTTAATGACAAATAATTTGAAAAAGCAGCAAGAGGAGAAAGTTTTAATAATAAAAATTTCCCCTTGAAAAATGTGTAATGATTGGATTATTGAAAGAAAACAGAGAATCACAGCGGGGTTCGCTTGGCTTCTTCACCCATCTTGCTGTGGGTGAAACACAAGTCACCTCACACAAAAGCCTCACAAAAGGGCAGATTGCACTGTTTGATTTTCTCCGCTGTTGCCAGTTTGTGGGGAAGGTAGCGGGGATGGTTACCGTTGTAGTCTTTCTCTCCTAGTCTGCGATTCCTGCCTTGTTATTAGGTACCTAAAGATCTCATTTAACACCCAATTATGAATTGATGGCAGAACTGGGGGAAACTAGATCAATAATGAACTTTGAGTGCCAACAAAAAAAAAAACACTTCAAAGCCCCAGCAGCATTGCCCTCAGCTTGAGGATTGGACCTGGGGGCCATGTAAGCACATAGATTCCATTTGTTTTGTATTGGTCCTCTTCATTAAGTGTGCTTTGCTCGGATTTTACTCTTCATAAATACTTGCCAGCTTTTTTGTGACTCCAGGAACCTAGCCTGCAACATACGATGACTTTGGTGGGTTTTTTTGGCGAAGACCTGCTTTCTTCAGATTTTGAGAAAATATTGATTGCTTCATCTTTCAGGAGCTTGGGAATTGATAAGATCTCATTGCTGAGCTACAGTTGAACTGAAAGGAAAAATGAGAAGAAACTGTCTAAAATATACTCGAAACTATTGCATGCAGTATAGACCGAACTGCCATCCTGCTGCTGTATAGCTACTCGCCTTACCCAGTATCTGGCTATATATCCCTGTAACCAGGTGCAAAATTATTACATCTTCTACTGAGGTCTGCTGAGGCCCTCTGAAGGTCTTGGTGAATGGTAGAAACGTCTCATGCTATGGAGATACCATATAATTGTGTCTCTGCAAAGCTCTAGAGTGCACCAATTGAGAATACTAAATACTTGTCCTTGAACTACAAATCCCAGAATTCCGTAAAAGGGCACCTTTACAAGATGGAATCATAGAATGAATCTTACTAGTGTGAAAGGAATCAATTTTGTGTCATCTAAATTGAAAATTATTTTCTTCCAGCGAGTTTTAGTATAATTCACCACTTACTTTACCTTCAATTAGTCCAGTGGTTCTCAACCTGTGGGCCCCTAGGTGTTTTGGCCTACAACTCCCAGAAATCCCAGCCGGTTTACCAGCTGTTAGGATTTCTGGGAGTTGAAGGCCAAAACGTCTGGGGACCAACAGGTTGAGAACTGGGTTGTTGTAGGTTTTTTCGGGCTATATGGCCATGTTCTAGAGGCATTCTCTTCTGACGTTTCACCTGCATCTATGGCAAGCATCCTCAGAGGTAGGTAGTGAGGTCTGTTGGAACTGGGAAAATGGGTTTATATATCTGTGGAATGACCAGGGTGGGACAAAGAAGTCTTGTCTGCTGGAGCTAGGTGTGAATGTTTCAACTGACCACCCTGATTAGCATTTGATGGCCTGGCAGTGCCTGGGGCAATCTTTTGTTGAGAGGTGATTAGATGTCCCTGATTGTTGAGAACCACTGAATTAGTCCCTCAGCTATCTAGATTGCAAGACTGCTACACAGGCCTATAAGTAACTATTATGAATGTGCTTCCTCAATACAGCCAGCTTTATACATTTGCTGGAGTTAGAGGCACAAGTCCTCTGTGAAAGTGTAAAAGCACAAATAGAAGAACACTTTTCTAGGGATCTCTTCTCTAGGAAGCGCTTCCCTAGGAATGTATGGTCAATGTCCGCTTGAAGCTGACCATAGACTTGCTTTGGAAGATCTGGGGATTCCTAGAGAAGTTCTCCAACCTTACTGGAGGGAGTTGGCCACAGGGTCACACTGGATGGGTGAGAGGTTTCTTGAGAGTGTTTTTAATCAAATCTATGAATATCCACAAATCCACAAAACGGATACTCTGGGATCAGGCAGTTTGGATGCAAAGGACTTTTATTGTAAAGTATTATTATAAAGTACCAGTGTGCTAACTTGTTACACTAGAATTTCCCCAAAGTTCCTATTGCCCAATACCCACTCCAAATCTCCAAACATATTTGAAGGAAGAATAATTTACTTTTAAAATATGTAAACATAATAAACAGTGTTTTCAAACACAGGCATTGTTGGGGTTGAAATCAGAGACACATTGACAAGAGTTTGATGTAGAAGTCTAATGTTAAAACTCCCGTAGTGCTTTGAGAAATCCCATCACCTTTAGCAAAATTTAGGAGAACTGTAAAACTCATCACACCTCATTTCTTTAAGACCAAGGAAACTGTCTACTTCCTAACGTTTTATGTTATTATTTGCAGATATAGTGTTAGATTAGTTTTCAGTAGGGCCATATTTATTTACTCCCTTGCAGCATCTTGTCTATTTAAAATTCAGCATGATGAAAAACTGTGTTTTAAATCACAGTTGCTTTTCCATTGGGGGGGAAATTGACCTGAGCTGGCTCAACATGAGATTGTGATATAATGATCAATTGTTAGAACGACATCCACAAGTGATAGTTCATCAAAGGGAAAGAACATTAGCCCACATCCAGTGTGACAAACGTGACACCTGGAGGAGTCTGGAACAAACACAACATCCTTAAATAAGCTCCTCCATTGAGCTCATTAGGGGAGCATTTGTTAAATGCACAGCATCTCCCCTTGCCATGGCTTCCACATAAGAAATGTATGCAGTCACTGCATCACATGAGCTGCTCATTTGTCATCAAAACTGTGTTTTCCTGCTTTGAGGGATGAAAGAAAAGATCGGAATTACATGTTCCAGCATGCTCGGTAGTATCACATATTGAAACCATTGTAATGTACAAGTAATGGCCTGTGATAGGAATAGAAACAATTTACTAAGCCCAAGGCTATCCACTAATGCTATGGATATCCAACAGTGGCAGCAGAATCTCTCAGAGGATGTTTACACATCCAGTTGATTGTGTAGCTAAGCAAAGCTTAAGTACTTTACTTGTGCTCTGTTTGCTGAAAGTGCAGCAAGGTGGGTGGGAAGAATCCTTGTGGCATAAGGAAGCGATGATGATGATGATGATGATGATGATGATGATGATGATGATGATGATGATGCAGATGCAATTAAGGCCAGGATTGAAAAATCAGCTGATGTCCCAAAATGCAGGCTGTGCAAGGAAGCTGATGAAATCATGGATCATATCCTCAGCTGTTGCAAGAAAATCACACAGACAGACTACAAACAAAGGCACAACTCTGTGGCCCAAATGATTCACTGGAACTTATGTCACAAGTGCCACCTGCCAACAGTAAAGAATTGGGGGAGCCATAAACCTGCAAAGGTAATAGAAAATGAATACGCAAAAATACTGTGGGACTTTCGAATCCAGACTGACAAAGTTTTGGAACACAATACACCAAACATCACGATTGTGGAAAAGAAACAAGTTTGGATTATTGATGTCACCATACCAGGTGATAGTCGCATTGAGGAAAAACAGGAAAAACTCAGCCATTATCGGGACCTCAAAATTGAACTGCAAAGGCTCTGGCATAAACCAGTACAGGTGGTCCCAGTGGTCATTGGTGCACTGGATGCCGTGCCAAAAGATCTTAGCTGGCATTTGGAAACAATAAACATTGACAAAATCACGATCTGTCAACTGCAAAAGGCCACCTTACTTGGATCTGCAAGCTTCATTCGAAAATACATCACACAGTCCTAGACACTTGGGAAGTGTTTGACTTGTGATTTTGTGATACGGAATCCAGCATATAGATCCCATTTGCTGTGACATACTGTGTTTTTGTGTCAGAATAATAATAATAATAATAATAATAATAATAATAATAATCCAACTTGCCTCTCTTAAATGATACTCAAAACAGACAGTACAGGCAGTCTGGAGTATTTTTGATTTCAGAATTCCAGATAAGGAATACTCAACTAGCACTAAGGATTTAAAATATTCAGGTATTTTTCCAAACCCAATGAGCAGCAGAATCCTATGAGAGCATTCGGTGTGACTCAACACAGTAACTACATAGTGGATTCTGACCATACACACACACACACCCAAACTACTTACCGGTAAGTAGCTGCTGGGATCAATGAGCACTGTCTTCAGTCTCCCACAGGAGCTATTTAGATCTGTGCAACGAACCCCCACCACCAAGCTCAAGACTCCATTAGGACCACTCTTCTGGCTCCCAAAGAAGAGCCCTTGGTCATGCATTCACCTGAGTTTCTCTCAGAATGGCAGCTTGATGATTTTTTTTTTTGGGGGGGGGGGGGGGGGGGGGGGGGGGGCGAGATAAAGCAGAGGGAAGAGGACAATGTCCCATTGCTGGAGGTTTGGAACATGACCCAGAAGTGGGTAGCTCAATAGCAATGACTTGTGTGTAGATTCTCAGCACCTTCAGCTTCAGACTTGCTCCTCCACTCCTCTCTGCTACTAGGTCCTTTGTGATTCTTCCTTCACCCCCCACCCCGCTCCTTCCTTGTTCTTCCTCTTGCCAGTTTCCACCCCTACCCAATTATATTTCATGTTACTTTTACTTGATACCCTATCCTCCCTAACAATTGATATCCTTTGGATCAGCTCCTTTAATATGTCTCTCTCTTCAACATTTGTGACCTATTACATTATGTCACTTTACATATGCCTAGCTACACAGCACAGCACGTTGTACATCAGGCATCAATGTGCATCAGTCACTTCGTAACAATAACCCTCCACTATTTATGGGCATTATCTAACTGCGTAAATCTAATTCCCATAAGACCTAAGTCCCCAACAGGATTCTGGCCCATGTCGTCATGAAGAAGCTTCAGCAGAGACCTTTATCCTCGCACACTCACCAAGCTCCTAGGCATCCTATTTACCCTCCATCCCCAAGTTTCCTCTTCCTTATCCCTCAGCCAACAGCTCTTTCCCACTTGCCAGGCTTCAATTAACTCTTCTGCGGAAAAATTGTATCAATGCTCTCAAAGTCTCGGAGTTATAACCCAACTTTTTCCTGATGCAGATCAGGATCTGGATGTGTTTGCTTGCCTCTGTGTTGCCTGAGTACAGAATTTTAATTTTGCTTTAGATCAGAATATACACATCCCTGGGCATACGTTCACATTTGTAGATGCTTTTGATTGCTGAGGACTGAGTCACTAGGAACAGAGGAGAATGTAAATTTTGGCTATAATCTTGGGAAGATATGGGTGACTATAAAATTAATTGCTGGATTTCTTTTCAATTTGTGTTTGCCACAGAATACAGTTTATAAGCTTAATTAATCGCATACAGTTTTGAAGCGTTAAACTACCTATAAATAGATAAGAATGAAGCACATGGACAAAAGCATAACAGATGACAAAAGCATATTTTGACAGCACTCCGCTGAGACCTTGGACTGATGAAATTCAGATGGTCTGAGGTAAATGCAGCCAATTCTCTCTTTAAAAAAAGATCTGGGTGATAAAAGAGTTTACTGTACTTGAAAACATCACTACAGCTGTTACCTAGAAGAAACCATAGCCAGACAAATGAACTGAATGATTATTATTTTATTTTTTATTGACTTTCATTTCAGGAAAACAGATTAGAAAAATTGCAGTGCAGTTCTAAGAGAGATTTTAGACAAAGAGGTCTTTCCAGAAATAAGGTGTCTATATACCTAGACATAGTGTAAAATTACTACGTAATGCCTTGTGCAAAGATTGCTATACTGTTTACAAAGCTTTATGACAAAGAGAAAATCAATTGATAGTGGTGAAGTATACACCTGTGGGAAACAATGCATTGGTGTTGATCTTATTCCATTTTACATGATTTTTATTTCATTTTTAAGTCAAATGTTGACTTTGCATAGCAGCATAGTATTACAAATAAATCATACAAGCCTGATTGTCTAGGAACAATGGAAGTAACATTTGTCATCGCAATCTCATACCTACATAATTGAAGCCAGTCTTCATACCTATCATATATATATATTTAAATCCCCAGGTTTAGGTGCTTTTGAGGTATCAACGTTTTTCATAGACACAATAAATACACTTCTGATTCATTTGAGAGTGTTTACATTCTAGTGGTTTTACCTGAAGTTTGTCTAAGAAGAGCGAGTACTCATGTTTGCCAAGATTCAGGCGACTGTGTAATGATGGGTAAGCCCTTGCCATGTTTCCTCCATCCCATCATGTGTTGGCTTGAGCCTACTGCTACTGTTCACATCAGTAAGATTGTCCATACATGGATGAAGGTCACAGCAAACTGATAATACTTTTTTCATGGATAAAGTGACATATGAAAACACTCTGAGTCATAAGAAGACAAGGGTTATATCAGGCATGGGTAAACTTCGGCCCTCCAGGTGTTTTGGACTTCCAGTTCCCATAATTCCTAACAAACGGTTCTGGCCCTACTTACCTCTCCGAACGCATCTCCTCCTATGAACCGACTAGGACACTAAGATCATCTGGGGAGGCCCTGCTCTCTGTCCCGCCTGCATCACAGGCGCGCTTGGCGGGGACGAGAGACAGGGCCTTCTCAGTGGTGGCCCCTCGGCTGTGGAACGCCCTGCCTGCAGATATCAGATCGGCCCCCTCCCTGCTGGCGTTTCGGAGGAAAGTGAAGACCTAGCTGTTCGAACAAGCATTTGATTAAACAGTGTAATTGAACATAGGAATACGGAATAATGGATGATGAGACTGGATTCTGATTTTACTGTTGAGGCGCTAATGATTGTTATACTGATGTTTAATGATTTATGTCACAATTGTTTTTAATTGCCCTATACTTGTCTCGTGATGTTTTGTATCGATGTTGTTCACCGTTTTGAGTCGCCTGAGGCTGAGAAAAGCGGTATATAAATAAAGTAAATAAATAAATAAACCAGCAGGTTGTTAGGAATTGTGGGAGTTGAAGTCGAAAACACCTGGAGAGCCAAAGTCTGCCCATGACTGGGTGATATCCAAAGTTTCCTAAATAGGACATCATCCCCTATCAGTCTTGCGTATTCCATAAGTGACATCTTTCCTCCCAAGAGTAGTGCCTGAAGTACACCATTTCAACTGCCCGCCTATATAGCAATGGCTATATGTCGACCGCTCAGACTGAGACTATATTGAAGTTATCCAGCTTCAGGGGAACACAACAGTCCCAAAACGAAACTGAAGAAGTATGGCATGCAATCATTTAAACAGATACAAATGCATTATACCTTTAGCTTCATTCCTGAGAGAGAATACAATCGTGCTTTTCAAGCGAAACTGAGGATAATACAAGTGCAAACTCATGTATGTTCTTGTCAGAACTGATTGCTTTTAAGAAACTGACTGTGATTTGATATGTAAATAGATTGTGTTGGCTGTGAATAAAAATATGCCATCTCTGACAGAGCTTGTTAGAGAGATACATCTAGACGGTTAGCCACGGGCATCTATCTAAAAACTAGTACTCTGAGTACAAAAATAGTCTTTGAAAATGTTACCCACACCTTTTCAGCTTGGTGAACCTTACTGAAATTGAGTATTGCTTACCATTATAGCTGATAAAAATAGACAAAGTAATGCAAACTCATTCCTATGCTAAATATGGATATTTTAGAGTGGCTGCATGCATGTCAAAGTAAACCACCACTGAATTCAGTGGAAACTTAGGGCCCTTCCACACAGCCATATAACCCCAAATATCAAGGCAGAAAATCCAACAATATGTGGATTTAAACTGGGTTATCTTGAGTCCACACTGCCATATAATCAAGTTCAAGGCAGATAATGTGGGATTTTATACAGCTGTATGGAAAGGGCCTTAGAGGACATGTGCAAGACTGCTGTAAGGGACTATCCAATCAGTGAATTGTGTTACAGGAACCATCTCCTTAATCTTTAATAGATGGCTGATATTTTTAAGTGGGTTGCATAAGAAATACTTAGGATTTTGTTCATTTACCTTCATAGATACCCAAGAAAAATGACATTGTTGCATTAGGGTTAGGTAAAGGCAAAGGTTTTCCCCTGACATTAAGTCCAGTCGTGTCCGACTCTGGGGTGTGGTGCTCATCTCAATTTATTAGCCAAGAGCCAGCGTTTTCTGTAGACACCCTCAAGGTCATGTGGCCGGCAAGACTGCATGGAACGCTGTTATGGCATTCCATGCATTAGGGTTACTCACAGCAAATATTGCAACTCCCATAATGCTACCAAATATACCAGAAAATGTGATTACAATGGAAATAAAAATTTGTTGATTTCCAGTCGCTGTGAGTTTTCTGGGCTGTATGGCCAAGTTCCATGTTGATTTTTCTTACTGTATATACGCATATATAAGTGTAGAATTTTTAGTCAAAACACCTACTCATATTATCCATGGATCAATGTAAGTACTATACCTTAATTCTTAGCAAAAGAAAATATAATAACATGGACATCAAAATCCATAGTTTTGGCCCCAAAACCAGCCCTTGACTGTTACAGGAGGTCAAATTATAACTGAGTATATACAGCACTTACTTGCTATTTTTAGTTGAATTTAAGCCCACTAAAATTAGTGAAACATAGGATTTAAATTATTAAATAATCATCTGAAATGCTTGTAATTTTTCTCCAGCCTTAACTAGGTAATGGTAGTGTCAACCTGATTCCTGAGTACAAAATGTCCCAAGGCTTCGAGGGAGGACGCACAAGTTAAACATAGCATTGAAAATGATTTAGGGAGGATCCATCTGAGAGTTGCTGCAAAATTAGCCCCCTTTGTACAACCCTCAACAATAAAATCTCATTCATTAGTAGGAAATATATCAAGTATCATTTCTAGTCATTCTATATCTCATAATCAAAATGTTATTTACAATGTTTATCAATAAGTTAATATTCTTCTGGAAAATACCCTGAGATGTTTGCACTCTTTAGGAAGGGTTCAGTGTTGTATCTGAGTAATCTGATAGGCGGACAGCAATCCGAAGCCCTTTATTTTCACTCTTAAAAAATACAATACATAAAACCTGTAGGTTCTCTTCCTTTATGTAATCTATTTTTTTAAAAACCAAAAATTTAACTTATGGTAGCAATTCAGAGATTCCCTTGCAAGCATATGCTATTGCCCAATTTTTATTTTATGGCTAGTCTAATTTCTAGGACATCTTTCTGTCTCTCGGTTTTTTAAATCCCATTATCCCTTTATTCCAATTATCCCTTTTCCTCTTTTGTTAAGATGGCTGCTTTACAATAGATTTACAATCTATTAAATGCCATATTTTCTACATTTTAAAGCTGCTCATATATTCCCTAACTCTCTCCTTATACTTCTTAGCCATTCCTTAATGTATCAGTTGCACTTTGGAACAATGCCCCTGGCTCCTCTTAAGTAATTATGTCACACAGTTTTCCCCGCACAACTTGTTGGCCTGTGTGTGTAAGTCTAGACTAGAGTCACAGCAATACCACAGGTGTCAAGTTTTGCTTTTCTGGGGAGACTTTTGCTTCTGTTTCTGAGCTTCTTCTGCTTTTTTCTTTTCCTCTTCCTCTGCTTTCTTCCTTTCTTCTTTCAGCTCTTTATACCTCCATTTGGGAATTTCCAAGTATGTCCCATCGCTGGCACTACTTTTCCGTCTCACCTTCTCTGGGTGGAAAGTCGGTGGAGGCGCCTTGTTGACACGAACTTTGGGGATGACAAATCCAGGGCGCACACTGCTCCTCCTCAGCAAGTGCAGCGGCAACAGGCTGGATTTCCTCGGGACCACAATGTTCACCTGTGGTACATTGAGATTGAAAGGCTGCAGGCTGGCTCGACGCTCCTTCTTTTTGGTGACTAATGTGACTCTGGAGTTCTGAAACAGCCTCTCATAGCTGGTAAAATGTTCCGTGTTTTCTAAAGATCGGATTTCCTTGGCTCGTTGTTTCCGAAGGATTTCTTGAACCGCAGGCCTGCGCTTTCCTAGTCCTGGTGGGCTACCAGGGCATACGGTTCTGCAAGCTATGGCAACAAAAGAGCTTCTCATTCCTGTTGTCACTCTGACCATATGATCAAGCACACCATCTTCTTCGGGGCCCTGGGGAGCTTTGTAACCGACCACGGACCGCACACCTTCCGAGATCCTTTGCAAACAGGTTTTCCGCTCTGCGGCCTTGGCAAGAAGCTCCTTCATCTTTGGCCATTCTAGCTCATAGTGGTCGCAAAACTGTTCTGCAGATGGCTTGTCCATAAGTCTCTGCATAAGGTAGGCAGCTTCTATTCTTCCAGTGAAACATGCCCATTCCTGAGAATTGAACCCACGGCCTGGGTCCGTGGCGTTGATGTTTGCCCCTCAAAGAAGAGAGAGATAAAGTTAGTTGTCAAAAGTGTGAGAGATCATAATGTATCTGCCAAATCATGTGCATCATGAACTTATTAATAGTATCTTATATCACACGGGCTATGAAATATTTATTTATTTATTTATTTACTGTATTTGTATACTATCTTTCTCAGCCATTTCGGCGACTCAAGGCGGTTTCCAACAAAACAGTATACATAGTATCACAACACAATTAAAAACATTACAATTACATAAACCACAACAGCAATAAAAATAACATCATTGACGTCTCCTTATTGTAAACCATTGTCCAATTCCGTCAATCATCAAATTCCTATATCATTTATCCATATCCGTTACTCTGTGTTTGTGAACGCTTGCTCAAACAGCCACGTTTTGACTTGCTTCCGAAACGTTAAAAGGGAAGGAGCAGATCTAATCTCTCTAGGGAGGGCGTTCCATAGCCGGGGGGCCACTGCTGAGAAGACCCTGTATCTCGTCCCTGCCAAATGTACCCGTGACGAACCGAGAGCAGAGCCTCTCCGGACAATCTCAAAGTTCTAGATGGTTCGTAAGGGGAGATACGTTCGGACAGGTAAGTTGGGCCAGAACCGTTTAGGGCAGGGGTCCTCAAACTAAGGCCCTGGGGCCAGATACGGCCCTCCAAGGTCATTTACCCGGCCCTCACTCAGGGTCAACCTAAGTCTGAAACTAATTGAAAGCACACAACAACAACAACAACAATCCTATCTCATCAGCCAAAAGCAGGCCCACACTTCCCATTGAAATACTAATACGTTTATATTTGTTAATATTGTTCTTCATTTTAATTATTGTATTGTTTTAAAGTGTGTTTTTTTTTGCACTACAAATAAGATGTGCAGTGAGCATAGGAATTCATTTATGTTTTTTTTCTTTCTCAAATTATAATCCAGCCCTCCAACAGTTTGAGAGGCTGTGACCTGGTCCTCTGTTTAAAAAGTTTGTGGACCCATGGTTTAGCGCTTTAAAGGTTAAAACCAGCACTTTGAATTGTGCCCAGTAGCAAACTGGCAGCCAGTGGAGCTGGCGCAACAGGGGGATTGTATGTTCCCTGAGAGCCGCTCCAGTTAGCAATCTGGCTGCTGTCTGTTGGACCAGCTGGAGCTTCCGGACAGTCTTCAAAGGCAACCCCACGTAGAGAGCGTTGCAGTAGTCTATACGGGATGTAACAAGAGCGTGGACTACTGTGGCCAAGTCAGACTTCCCAAGGTACGGGCGCAGCTGGCAATTTTTAAGAAAGAAATTGAATAACCAGCAGAGAATTGTATTGAGATCCAGCAGATGGGCAAGATAGACCACAGCATTAAGTTAATGCTATTAGCTTCCCAACTGGCAGGGTCATCGTAAATTAGAGTGATGTTTGTAATGTGCAATCATTATCACACAAGTAATATTTGCAAGCTGAGCTTGTATTTCACTGTGGGTTTTGAAAAAGTATATATTGCATTTTTATGTGGGTTTTTTGTTAATATGTATGAGATATTTTTAATATTTGGATTTCAAAATAACTGTTATTACTTTCTGACCATACAAAATGATATGGGAATAGCCATCATGAATAATTGGCTGTTCTGTGTTTTGCCCCTAAGAAAATATGATTTCACCCCATGCACTCTTCTCACATTATTTTTAAGCTCCTTTTTTGTTATAGCCCATCGGCACACAAATCACATTTTTCTCCATCTCACATTATATCTGGATTCATTTTTAATGTCAGAGTGTTAACAAAATCAAGAAATTTCTATGCAGAGTTAGGGTAAGCAATGAAGCTAGATATAACCAAGAGAAAAACTGCATGAATATGAATCCTGCAGAAACAAGGAGCATTCATGCTTGCACACTCTGCCATCCCCACCCTACTCATATACACTATGAACTCTGTATTGTGGATAGCTCACAAAAGTGGGTAGACTGGAGCATGGGCAAGATGGTGAGAATGTTATGTCTGTAAAGGACTTCTTGAGTGTGTATCATCTTCTAGAAATATTTTCAATCACTTTTCAAGTGCTTGTGATGGCACGGAGTGCAAAATAAAGCATACGCAACAGCCTCCAAAGATGGCAACAGCAAAAACAAAAATAAGAAAGCTATTCAGAGTCGTGTGCGTGTTTCCTGACAATGCTACCAAAGCAGATGGTGCAGGCTGAAACTCAAGTCTGTGGATTTAGGCTAATCTCATGAATGGTTAAGAGGTTAACATGTGACTATATCTGTGTACAATAAGAGGGAGTGAAAGGTATATCCAAAAGCCCCTGCTGCCACAGAAGCAGGAAGAGCCAGAAGAGTGATGGGAAGATACAATGGATCTCTTCTATCAGCTTTATCTCTAGCCACTTTGCATACTGCTTTATCTTACACAACATTTGAGATATTGCCCTCTGTGTTGCATTTCTACACTTCGTGAAAATGTGGTATTTTGTACTTTTTCTTTCATGTGTCATTTTGTGTAGGTTTATTTTAGACAATTTTGGAGAACTTCATTGTTTTCCCCATTCTAGGACATCGTGATCTTCTGCTCCCAATATATACATTTCCAGCTTTTCTTTAGATAGCAGTTCCAAAACAAGGGCTCCATGTCTAAATATGCAATTTGCTGATACACGCACACACACACACACACATACATACATATATACATAGAGTGACCATCACTCAAAGAATTATGATTTTGTCATTTGGGAGATGTAGTAGCTGGGATTTATAATTCACCTACAATCAAAGAGCAATCTGAACTCCACCAATGATGGAATTGAACCAAATTTGGCACACAGATCTCCCATAACCAACAGAAAATACTGGAAGGGTTTGGTGGGCATTGACCTTGAGTTTGGGAGTTGTAGTTCACCTACATCCAGAGAGCACTGTGGACTCAAACAATGATGGATCTGGAGCAAACTTGGCACAAGCACTCAATACGCCCAAATATGAACACAGATGGAGTTTGGGGGAAATATACCTTGACATTTGGGAGTTGTAGTCACTGGGATTCACAGTTCACCTACAATCAAAGAGCATTCTGAACCTCACGAACAACAGAATCGGGGCAAAATTCCCACACAGAACCCCCATGACCAACAGAAAATACTCAAGGCCATCCAATCCAACTCCCTTCATCAGGGTAAGAAAACGTAATCAAAGTCCTCCTGACAAAGAGCCATTCAGCCATAGAGATAGATAGATAGATAGATAGATAGATAGATAGATAGATAGATAGATAGATAGATAGATAGATAGATAGATATGATTCACACACAAAGAGATATAGTATCATAGATTTGAAAGGGACCCTTAAGGAAGGACAAACCAGACACTCTCCACATCAACACTGACAAAGAAACAGCAAGAAATACTGTTTACCCACAAGCATAAAGAAATTACATATATTACAAACCAACACTTTCTCATTACTTATTTCCCAGATCAACAGACTGGGCCACAGCAACACGTGGCAGGGGACAGCTATATACATATAAAATTATTTTTATTGGTAAGTTTTGTAGAGCTTAAAAGAGGAATATAATTTTTACATCGAAAGTGGGAGAACATATTTGCTATAGATAAGAAAGTAGTAAGAAGAGAGATTGATATAGAGGGAGAAAGAAAAGAGAAGAAAAATGAAAAAAACTTGTTAACTTCCATCTAGTCTTTGATATCTTTTTCTATATTATGAAAGTTGTTTGCTTCCCCACTGTTTCTTCTTTAATTATGATTTACTCTTTTTAAATAATCTCTATTTCCCATTGTCAATTTGCTGTTCTTAAGAATAATTTTTGTAACAGCACATAAAGATAATCAGTACAAGTTGATCAATGCAGAATAATCACAGGATGCCTTAAACCTACACCTGTTGATAAACTCTAGAAGCTAGCTGGCATTGTCCCCCCCCCCCCAAACATGTGATGGGAAGTTGCTGCTAAATGTGAGAGAAATAAGGTTGAACACTGTGAAAGCCATCCACTACATGGCTACCAGTCCCCTCCCAGTAGAATCAAATCAAGGAAAAGCTTTATGAGAACTACCACTCCTCTTGGCATCCCCCCAGCAACAGCAAGGGTACTAATTTCTTATCTATAGCTAGACCAGGAAATCCCAGTTGTATGGCCCCCCCATGAGAGTCTTCATCCAGGGGCAAACCAAGAATGGGCAACTTGGAAGTCTCTGAACAGACTCAGAAGTGGAATGGGCAGAACAATAGACACCTGGCAAAATGGCTCTCCCTAAAAGAATCCTACACCTTGTGTGACTGTTGAGCAGAACAGCCAACTCTGTATCTGTATGCTTGTCCACTATGCTCTGCCTCATGTACAGAGAAAGAATTGTTGGAGGCTACAGACAATGCAGTTGATGTTGCCTGCAGTTTAACCCATTGAGTCACCGGGGACTCCTTGATGGCATAGTAAACCCTATTTTTCTCGTGGGTCATCTGTGTTCTCTCTCAGAAAATCTATCTGGGAAATAAGAGTTGCTTTAAATACTCATCAGCTACTGCTGTGATTCCTTTCATGCCAATCTCACATGAACATGAAGGAGGTTAGATACTTTGCCACCTGGGTCAAACATGAATATTCAAGCCCCCTTTCAAGTACACGTCATTCTGTTTTGTATTCCAAATGGCATCAGATCTGCAAGCCATCATTTAAGGAACGTGTCTACTCCAACCTAGATCTAATTTTCCTAAGAGAAATCTAGTATCACAAACATCATTAGTTTTTTTTCAAAATAAATACTATAAGCAGGCCTACCAATTATGTAATGTCGAAGGTTTTCATGGCCACAACCACTAGGTTGTTGTAAGTTTTTCGTGCTGTATGGCCATGTTCCAGAAGCATTCTCTCCTGACGTTTCACCTGCATCTATGGCAGACATTCTCTGAGGAAACCTGACATAGATGCAGGTGAAACGTCAGGAGAGAATGCTTCTGAAACATGGCCATACAGCACGAAAAACTTACAACAACCTATCAGTT